TGAACAACAGCAAGCCTTCCGAACCAATGATGCCCTTTTGAGAAATTCAATACGAACCATTGATGTCATTTCCTAGGACTCATCAGACTCTTCATCAGAAGAAGTATCACTATATTCATCACCCACCCGCTCGTAATCGTGATCCGTTCCATACTTCTGCCCCTCACGGCTCGTTATTGAGTAGTCCCTTAGGGTTATTTTCAAGTTTTATTGGTTGTTGTTGTTGCTGCCATTTATTAGTCCCTTATTATCATGTTTCATCCAAATATTGTTGTTCTCACGAGTTGCAAATGTTCTGCGAGGGCCCTTTCAAACCTGCAGCCGCAGCAAACAGCCGAAAAGGACGGCTGCCAGCTCCTGCTGACTTCCCAAACTTTGTGGAAATCCAGAATCCTCCAGAATCCGGATGTTTGTGGATTTTGGTGGTTGTTTTTGGCTTTAAAACGAGAAAAATTTTTAAAAATAAAAATGCAAAACAACAACAACAATTCCGGACAAGCCTTGGCATGTTATCCTTGAACGAAATGAATTCAAATGTGGAGCTAGACAACCAATCCACATCAACTTACACCCACGAAACGAATTCTGATCTTCATCTTCTCTATGACTATCTTACCGATATAAAATTCACACCATCAGACATCAATTCAGTAATTCGTATTTTTGAAGAAAATGCTATCAGAAGCATTGCTTGTTCTAAAGTCTTTTATTTGATGATGAAGAGATCATGTCATTTGCACTTCCAAAATCCATCATCAAAGCAGTGATTTCTTTCCGAATGCAACCCGAAAATGATAATCCAAACCAAAGATTTCACGTAAAAACAAGATTATGACTGAAGATGATGTCAAACAAATGTTCATAACAAAAGAGCTTTGTGGAATCGCTCGCATCTTCCTCAAAGAAAAAGAAACAAATCATAACAATACTGACATCGAAGATGATGATGAGTCAATTTATAGTTCGACTTCAAGGTAGATAAATTGTCATTATCCATTATTGTTGTTATTAATGATCGGTTTGTGTTTGACAATGTATAGAGTTCAATCATCACCCAACAACAGAGTATTTTTGCCTTTTCAACTGCAAGAATATATGATCGAGAATTTTTATGGAGTGGCTTGACAACATTGTGGCTCCAACACCAATCTGAACGCTGAAAATTTCTTGAATGCTCTCAATAATTTTTTAAGTGCCTTAATTGTTGGCTTACAATTCAACAAAGAGAAAGATCAATCCACAAGATTACCATATGAGTATTATTGTTGCTTCCCATCACCAGAACATATTAATTATATTGTTATTGGTGAATTTGAAAGAGCATGTCGCACTTTTGCCATGCTTTCAGATACTGAATATGAATCCAACCATTCATACTCTATTGTTTAATTTGAATATACCTGGTATTGAAGTTTTACTTACAAAAGAATTCAAATTGAAACAATATTCGAATAATGACATTGTGGAATTTGATAAATTGGAGCAGCAATTGAACTGAACACATCAACCACACAACTTGCTACAAAATTTCAAAAACAAACAATCCAACGCACATATCACCATTGGAGGAATTACCTATCACAAACAACAAATTGAAAAACCAGAAGCAAATGACTCTCAATTCCGAATATTTAAGCATTGGTGATTATGTTCTCCAATTAGATGAAAAATATCATGTCTACATCTGCCAAATTAAGCAAATCAAACAGTGGACAAAAAGGAATAAGAAGAACAAAAACCTTTGCCTGGATGGACGTTTCTAAAGATTTTACGCAATATTTTAAGAACCGTCATTGTGGAGAACGGTTTTTTAGTCAGCAAAATAAACTGATCACCTGATCAAAATCCTACCTCAGCCGCAAAAATCCTGTTTCAACCGGATGCCAAAGGATTCTATTGATTGCATCTGAAAATAATTTCGGCAGCGAGGACTATCCTGGCTGAATGGCTGTTTGCTGTGGCTGAAGGTTTGAAAGGGCCCTCTGTTCTGCATGTACTGTTTGTATTTTGCCAAAAATCGTTATGCAATTCCGGGCGGATCTGCCTAAAGCTTTACAAGGCATACACCCTCTCGGTTGGAATTGAGGCAAGAGTTGTTGTGCAATAAAGTACATAAACAAAAGCACTCAAATGATGCATCAAGAAACGTTGACCCTCGCCAACTCGCCAACAAACTCGCTGGAGTATTTTGGCTCGCGTTAAACCACTGTGTGTCACTCTTAATTTCGTAAAGACATGGCAATTCATCAATGAAATTTTCCAAACATGACCATCAAACATTAAAAAAAATGAGTTCATACGACGAGGATTATGACGATGAAGATTTAGATGTAAGTGGTGGTGGTTGTTGTTTTTTTAATTAATTCATGACGAATATCATGATCATTGAATCCATGTTGGATCTTGGTCCGTTTGAACCCGAACCAATTTTTGCTTGAATTCATGATTCATTGATCATGTAATACAACAATGATTTTATGATGTACACGCATAATCCTGTCTTCCATTTCCCGAACCGATCATCATCAAAATTTTACTTTTAATTTTTCGTATACAATTATACAATCATCATCATTTTCAATAATTTTCAATTTGATGCAATTTTCCTTTTCGCACTCTCATATACAGGTGCCAACAACAGAAACACAAAAGCCAAAAGGAATTGGTTCACTTTCTATTGGATTATCTCTTGCCCAATCCGGTAAGAACCAGAAGGACAAGACTGAACAAGAGCTTCTGGGCGAAGAAGTAACCGTTCTCTTCAAGCTTGAATCACGAGGTGGTGAAGTTAAAAAGCATTCTGTGAATATGGGTCGTCCCATTGAATATCTCAAGCTTTTGTTGGAAAGAGAGCACGGAATTAACTTTGATAGTCAAAAAATGTTTTTGAATTCAAAGGAATTGGCCAACTTTTTAAGTTTGCAAGATATTCCGGAAATTGATCCAAAGAAGGAGAATGTAATTGTTGTAAAGGAGGCATAAATGAATGACCTATTCATGTACAATTCACACAAATGTAAGTTGTATTGGCAGAGGTGACATTTTTTCACTAATTATTCCAAATAATTGAATGATTGAATGGATCATTAGATTTTGTTTACAAAAAGCATAGTTTTCACAATCTTGTGTTGTTATGCATACATCTTGATTATTACATGATCAGTCAATTGCAAGGAACGAACGAATCGAACGAGAAATTCACAATATTTTCAACACATTGTAGACTCACAATTTTATTACACAGATCAAAATGAATTATCTTTGAGGAGGAGTCGCTTGTTGCTGTTGTTGAGGTCTTTGTGGAATTGGCATGGTCATTCCATAATTCATCAATGATTCCATGTAAGGATCTCCTAAAGAAGTTTGACCAGGCCTTGATCCATATGCCATTTGCTGACCAGGAAATTGTCCATTGTAAACCATTGGTTGCTGCTGGTTTGGTGCTGATACACCAGCTATTGACACCCATGGTTGAGCTCCACCATACATGGATGGGTTGTAAGAGTAAGGTTGACCGCCAGCTTGTTGAGGATAGTATGCTTGTTGCTGAGCTGGATAAGCGGATTGTTGAGGATAGTAGGCTTGTTGTTGAGATGGAGGATACATTTGCTGTGGACCACCATATCCTGGATATACTTGTTGGCTTGGATAACCTTGTTGAGCAGCTGGATACATTGGTTGTTGTTGTTGACCATAGGTTGGTGGATACATGGGTGATGAAGGATATCCTTGTTGTGGAGGAGGCATTTGTTGCATACCACCTTGTTGTTGAGGAGGAGGCATTGATTGCATTCCTCCTTGCTGTTGCTGTTGTTGTTGACCTTGTTGGACTTGACCATAATTACCACTAATTTGAGTCATGAGCGATTGTAAGCTTGAAGCAACTTGTTGGAAGGTATTCCAATCGACTGATTTAGCAGCACTGACCAAGTTTGCAACAGCAGGTTTGATTTGACTTGTAATTAATTGAGAGTCCTGAGCGTTGGTCGTATTCAAGTCATTATTCACAATGAGATCTAAATTGGATTGAATATTATTGGCAGAATCTGTAATGAGTGAACATGGTGAAATCATGGATTGAGTGAGAGTTGGTTGTGACTGAGTCGCTTGAGCATTGGGCTGACCTTGACCTCCAGCAGGCATTCCTTGCAGCGGCATTTGTGGCGAATACATTCCTTGTTGTTGAGGAGGAGGTGCATACATTTGTTGTGGCATTTGCTGTTGAGGTGGAGGTGCATACATTTGTTGTGGAGGAGGAGCCATTTGTCGCAAACCTCGTGTCATTCGAATAGTTTGACCAACAGGATTGTCTTGAGGTAATGGTGTTGGTGGGGCTTGACCTGGAGGAGCTGGTTGGTTGGGATCTGAGATTTGCATCACCTGAGGAGGCATTTGACCTTGAGGATATCCCTGTTGTTGAGATGGAGGATACATTTGTTGCTGCATTCCTTGTTGTTGAGGAGGAGGTGCATACATTTGTTGTGGCATTTGCTGTTGTTGTTGTGGAGGAGCCATTTGTGCTTGTTGCTGCTGCTGTTGACTATTGATGTAACAATACTGCCCAATTTTTTGGATTAATGCCAACTGAGAATTAATGTTATTAATGTAGATGGCCAATTTGCTAGTACTGGACGGACTGGATGACGGTTGCTGAGGTTGGTTGACTTGTTGGGGCGGCGCTTGAGACGGTTGTGTGGATGATTGCTGCTGACTTTGCTCCTGAGTTTGAGCACTCACAAAAGGAGCCGAAGATACTGCCAAGAGCAAGCATGTGGCTGCACAGAATAACAATACGGCAACAAAAAAGGAGCGATTCATGGTGACAAGAATGGGTATGAAATTTGTTTTGTTTGTAAGAAAATTATCATCAAAGATTTCTCAGATTATTGCTGTTGTACTAGAATTTGTTATGATGGATTTATTTGGAAGGTAGATTTTGTTAGTGAAACGAAGATTATGTCAAGATGTCTTTTTAAGGATTTGGATTTGTTCAGTGAATATCCACAAGAGTAGAAACTCGCCAAATCGATTTCCTTATTTGAGTGTGATGAGAATATGTGATTTTATAATAAGGAACAGGTGCTTTTACTTTATTCAGAATGACATAATTGGATGTTCGTATTCAAGTTGTTGCTGGCTGTAATCTTCACCAACCCTATTCAGTTAGTCAACAAGTTGCAAGATTTCGACTGATTATGAATTCACAATTCTAAATCCAGGGAACGTTAACGAATGAGTGGAAAAATTACGGTCATTTGCAGGTTTTGTAAAACAACAATTATGTGTTTGGGAATCAAATGCTTGTGAAAAAAAACATTTCATAGTACTGAACTAGGAACTGGAGTTCACTGTCCCAAAAAAATGGCAACACCTCCTCCACCGCCTCCCACTCTCTCAACCTCTTCGGAATCCACTCAACGCAACAAGAAAAAATTAAATTTATGTATTCAATCCAGTGATGATCATGATGATGCTAATACTGTTCATTCCGATCAAAACGTCCAATCCAAAAAACGAGTTCAATTCATCTCTCATTTTCATCATGATTTATTATTTGTAAAGAGCGGAATGGTGTTTTTAGATTCAAACAATGTATTGACTCACTCACCGTGCGTGATGTCTTTTGGTGGAATTTATAACTTTAATGTGATTGGCAATGAAATGTTTTATTTGGATTTAGAACCGAAAGAAACTTTGATTGGCAATGAACAAAATTGTGATGAAATTGAACAGAATGATGAAAAGCATCGAAGGAAAGACAAATATCATGCATTATTTCAATGGAAGAAATTAGAAATTGAAAAGAACGAAAGAAATTTGAGACATTGGCCTTTACCTGACATTCATTACGCGATGGAATATGTTCCTTCCCGACAATGGATTGTTTTGGCAAAAAATAATTATTTATTTGTTCTTTGTTTGAAATCATTGAAGTTTCATGCCATCGAATTGAGAAATGTGTATGCAGATGATTTTGATTTGTTTCTATGGAAGGATCAATATTTGTTTTTCACACAAAATCAATCGTATTTTCAATATCACTTGATGAAAATAGAATTGAAAGAAATTGAGAAGGAAATGGAATATTGTGATCTACATGAACGGGTAGGGCGTTTAAAATCCATGAATAATTATTCCTTTCATTGCCTTTATACCTCTAAAAAATCAGTGGTTTTAGCCAGTATTCAAAAGAAAGCCAAGTTACTCTTCACAGACGATGAAAATTCCAAAACTTCAAATGACTTTAATTTATGGGTATTTGGAGGAAAAAAAGACGTATCCAATGAATATCGGTCCATTCGAGTGTTGAACATGACAACAACGTCCACCACAAATTTCATGACGAGAGTGCATGAATTTCCAGTGCATGATGTTGACAATCATTACAGAACCAATTCATACATGGCATTAATTCCAAACAAGAATTTAGAAAATAATTGTGACCAGCAGCAACGAGTGTCAATGTTGCTGAGCCATGTCGAATCGATGAATGGAGTAGATCGAATTTTCTTTCATATTGCCCATGTCGACCGAACAAGCTCTACAAATTCCACAAATTCGAGCAAGCACAAGAATTTCGAACTTGAGCGATTAGTATTTAACAACATTCCAGTACCACCTTCCATTCAAAAATGTGTATTTCGACCCTTCCTTCATTGTTATTATGACAAGTATGGTCATCGAAAAGGAATTTACATTGTGAATAGTCATGTCATGTATTTTATTCATTTGGATTATGAGTCAGTGAGTTTTTGTTTTCAATGGAAGATTTTGTTGAACAATGAAACACATGCTTTGAGTGATATTGAAATAATCACCCAATCCATTGTGTATTTATGAAAATAATTATTATTTTGAACTTTTTTGAAGAATGATTTCCGGTGGAACATTGAAACTCCGTTTTCCGTTTCGGAGAAGTAAAAAAAAATTATCGTAATCAGAAAATGTCATCATCATCATCGTTATCGACAACGTCAGCTGAACCAATCGAAAACTCTGAAGAACGAGTGGACAACCATGTTGATAGGATCCTTCCACCTGAAAATTCATTCCATGAAAATAATATCGGAACGCAAATGACAATTGACAGCAGCATGCCAACCACACTCTGTGAAATCATACCATCCAATATCACTCCCATCATCACCGATTCATCATTACCAGAAAATAATCATTCATCGCATCCTCCGCAAGTTCAAGAATCTCAACACAAAATTATTATTCGAGGATTTTCGAATAATGATGAACATGACACTTTCACAAAAGAAAATCATTCCAAAACTGCTCCATTGGAAAATGACGATCATTTTCATCATGATGAAATGATTCATGAAAAAAATCACTTCTCTTCTCCGAACCGTCAACAAGTTTCCAAATTTGAAAAATTTTCAAAATTAATTTCCATTTTGAATTTTTTACTATTCGGAAATCGATGGATTTCCTTCTTGATCGGAGCTCTATTGACCTTTTTGAGTGGTACTCATTATGCCTATTCCTCTATTTCTCCAACAATTAAGAATGATTTAAATTTTTCACAAACTCAAGTCAATCTTATTGGAACAGCCGCCAACGTAGGAACTTATTTCGCACTTCCAGTTTCCATGCTCAACGATTTTATCGGTTCACGAGTGACATGTGTCATTTCTGGACTGTTACTCTTCTCTGGTTATTTCACATTTTATCTTGTTTATATTAAGGCCATTCCCTTAAATGGTTCTGATGCTTATATTTTCATCGCTTGCTTTATGGCAGTCATGGGACAAGGAAGTGCCGGCGCCTATGCCGCTGCCATTACCACAAATATTAAAAATTTTGAAGAAAAACACCGAGGAAAAATTATTGGATTTATGGGAAGTTGTGTCGCTTTGAGTAGTGCAGTATTTAGTTTGATTTATAGTGTGGGATTTGAGAGAAAGTTAGGAGAGTATTTGTTATTTGTGGGAGTGTTTGGAGGAGGTGTGACCACTGTGTTAGGAACATTGTTTATGAACCAAATTGGGATTAAAAAGAATGAAGAAAATTCCAAGAATGGAAATGTGCAAGATCACAATGCATGGATGTTGATCGATGAAGAGGAGGACGTACAAAGTTTTGTGCATGATGAGGATTTGGAGGATGGTGATGTGGAACAGATTAATGATTTTTTAATGATGGGAAATGACAAGATGACAGAAAAAAATGATAAAAAAGAAGAAATATCGCAAGAAGAGAAGATGAAGGAAGAAAGTGAACAAATAACTCCAACTCAACCACAAGAATTGATAATGAATGTAACTTCACAACCCATGCTTTCACAAAGTGATCTAATGACAAGTGACATTTTGGAAGAGCAAGACCAATTAGAGGAACGAGAAGAGGAAATTCAAGTAGAAATCGAACAAGTCAAATCTATTGAAGATGAAATGCTGAAAAGCACTGAACATCACGAACATCCTCTCCTTTTACCTAAAATGGAAAAGAAACTAGAATCTAAATTCGACAAGATTTACAGCATTGCCCAAAAACCCATTCCCAACGCCAATCCCATCCAAATGCTCTTCTCTCTCGATTTCTACCTGACCTTCTTCGTTTACTTTGCTTGTATGGGCAGTGGACTTGTCATTGTCAATAATTTAGGATCCATTGTCATTTCGTATGGAGGTTACGATGGTCAACAACACGTCATGGTCATTATTTTTGCATGTTCCAATGCATTGGGAAGATTACTTTTTGGCCTTACGAGTGATTCATTTAGTCGCTATGTGACCCGAACGACTTTTTTGACAGGAGCTTCAATTCTCATGTTAATTTGTCAATTAGTGGTATTGGTCTCTCCACTATGGATGTTTTATTTGATTTTAATTTTGTTGGGAAATTCATTTGGAGGAGTGGCAGTCATGATTCCATCGTTCCTGTCTGAACGATTTGGACCAAAATATTTTGCAGTGAATTCTTCGATTTGTAGTTTGGCAAGTTCATTGGGAAGTTTCTTGTTGGCAACTCTTGTGGCTGGAGAGGTGTACGAGAGCAATATTGCAAGTGACAACTTGTCAAAAATTTGTTATGGAAATTCATGTTTCCAAGCAACGTTTTATTTGACCACATTGTTGTGCTCCATTTCATGTGTAGCGTGCATTGTGTTAATGTACAGAACGAGAGGTCTCTATCAAATATTGTATTATCGAAAAGTTCTCAATTTGAATCATGATCCAGTCATGACCAAATAACGAAAATTTCTATTGAAGAGAATTTCATTTACAGAAGAGAACATGTGAAGAATAAGGTACCGAAATTACATGATGAGACACTCTCCATCTACATTCATACTGGAAGATGAACCAAATCCTGAATATTTTTGCAAGTCAGAATGTTGATGATCTGTGATCACACTTCTACAATGAGTCGTCAACTTGTCTTCATGAGGATCCTCTAAAATATCCTTCGAACGAATGGGCATGGAAAATAGAAACGATTGACGAGTTTTCTTGTCCAATGAAATATTTCGATCGAGAGCACTCCAAAATGTTAATTCCTTATTATTGAGACATTTGAGAGAGCCCATCCAGTCTGCAGTCGTTGTGATAATTCCAAAATGGAAAGAATACATGATATGAACCAGTTGTTGAGTGGTAAACACATAATCTACAGTCAGTCTTCCAATGGGTTGTTCCGATGTGAAAATATTTTCGTACCCGTGTACCATTTCCATAAATTCACATTTTCGTTTTAGATAATGAAGACACACATTGGCACATAATTGTAAATCAGGAGCTGCTGTAATGTCGTGGGTGGTTGAGGGAGATTTCAGACGAGTAGATGGATGTGGCATGGTCGATACGTAAGGTGATGCAAAGACATGATGTCTTGGTGATGCTGATGTTGGTAATGATTTGTTGTTGTGTTCGAAAATACTTTTCAGTGCATTTGTTTGGCGAATACTTGAATCATTGGTGCACATCTTATCAAGTTGAATGGGAGTTGTTAATTTTGTGCTAATTTCGAACCACATTTTGTGAATTTGTTTAGCCCAACTTTCATGTAAAGATGAAAAATTCACAAAATTCATAATCAATACATTGTCCATATTGAGAAATTCCAGTTTTTGCAAACGTGAAATATTGAGAGAGGATAAATCACACGGAGTTGAGTTTTCCTGCTCAGAATATAGATCGAAATGTCGACAGCCATTAAAATCAATGCTCACTAAATTTTCCAAACTTTCTAAAATGTGTAAATTCTCAACTATTTTCAATAAAGTACAAGCAAAGCTCAGTACTGTCAAGTAATGTAAATTTTCAATAGACTTGCAATCAACATTGGAGAGTGATGAGCATTCTTCAAATCGAATTACTTGGAGCTTGCAAAAATGTGTGAGCCTTGGAAATTGAGCGATGGAACACTTTTTGGCAGTAATGACTTTCAAATTAGTTCCAAAAAACGAAAATAGCGTGTTCGAAATGGAAATGGTACAATCTCCTAATTGTACTTCCTCCAATGATGGAAATATCACACTGTCATTTCTACTCGTCGTGTGGATGTCACACAATTCCATTTTGTCAATTCGCAATTTTCTCAAATTCATCATTGGCATCCAATGTGCGATAGACAAGGTGGTCAAAAGTTTCGAGTTGTCAAGTCCTTTCACGTGTAACTCATTCAAATATTTAAAAGCATGCATTGGAAAAGGTACATTTCTTTTCACCCACTGCGTCGTGGAAGAAATGGAACAGTCACTGAAACTTAAATGAAGGCGCTTACATTTCGATATTGGTGAGACAAGCAATTCAGAGCCCTTAATAAAAGGTGAGACTTCAATCAATTCTAATTCTAGGTCGTCCAAGAATGAGCTTGACATGAGCCAGCTTAAACAATCCCATCTCGCAATGTCAATAAGATAGAATTTGAGTCTGTTCACAGAACGGAGTCTCTCAAGTTCTCTCATTAGCTTTTTCAAAAGCTTGTTCAAAATTTCCAAACTGGTACACGATTCTAACAATTTAGCCATGTTCACAGATAACACCAATTCTTTGAGCTTGTGATTGATGTGCCAATCACTATTCTTGATCATGTAAATGAAAAGTTGTACTTCTCCAATATCAGTGAAGGGAACACTACATTTAAACGACTCCAACATACTCATCTTCTTTGTGGAGGCGGTTCCCTCTCGACCAGCAGCGTGAGGTGTTTTTATACACAACAAGTACTTGCAATAGTTAAGAATTTCCATCATGGAAATGTGTGAACTCAAGTTTCCAATATTCAAATCGAGATGCTTTAACGCAATGGAATCATTCTTCCTACATGACTGTTTTAAAATGGAAAGTACAGTTTTTGTAAATGGAATATTGAGTGGAGCATTAATGACAAGTCCCTCTAAGCTATTAAGTAAATCAATACCGTTCGCATGGTTGGTGAGTAGCTTTGCAAGTAATCGATACGTGGTTGAATTTGAATCCAAATTATAACTGGCCGATGCTAGATTATGAGATTCCAACTCCAAAACTTTGACACATGTCTTGTTGGATCGTAAAAACATGCAAAGCATTTCTGTCAACACTCGATCGAGTGAATGATCTTTGTTATTATCATCTCCAATCACGTCACATCTGACATGTAAATAATTAACTCTCGAATCATAGTGTGCGATATTGCTAGAAATTAAGCGCTTTTTACAAAATAGCTGAGCAGGCTTTCCAGTCAAGTGCCACCCATTTCTCCAAACAGTGTATGGACTTTTAAATTGCATTTCCAAGCAATTGTTAATATAACTCAACTCAGATTCATAATTATTTCTAAATTTCAATGTTCTATTTGAAGATACTCCTCCTAAAATATCATCCATTCGTTTCTTCTCCATTTTACAGTAATTATTGAAACAACCCTTGATTCCATAACTACCACCAAAATGAATACATTTGTAGAATTTCTTGCAAGTCATTGCAACCATATGAATCAAAAACCACCGATCCAGATACGAGAATATCACGATCAATAAATCATTATGGTCGTTTTGGCCTCCGTATTCAAATAATTTTCGGAGTGTTGATGATGAGGTGTATGGGGTTGGTTGTTGTTGGTGTTGTCCGCCAATCATCGTCATTAATTGAGGATATTCCAGTTGTAGTGAGTAAAGGCTATTACCCCTGGAGCTCCTAGAGGATGTTGATGAATGTTTCATGTTTTGTACTCGGATATTGAATGATGAGGATTGAATCATCAATAATTTCTTTTTAAACAAGAAAACTTGTTAGCCATGGATCATACGTCATTCTGATGTGTTCAATGTGAAGCCGTAAGCCAAGATTATGCTTGAAATCCCTCGACCGATGAATATCAAACCGATCCTCATTCTGCTGCTGCGTGGCTGTTACGTGTCTCATGACGTCATTTTTCTTCTTTTGAAACAATACACATTACAACAAGGCAAGAAAGACAGTGATTAACACAGTTCGAGTGAAATAGAGAAATGTACAACTGAAATATCTTGTTGTTATAAATGTTCTCGAGATTGTTTCTGTTGGTTTTTCGTGCTGAATGGACTTTTGGGTTTATAAAGTAAAAAAATGATGAATTCTCATGTAATGATTTCTTTGGTGGAACAACAACAACGATATCGGAAGATGAGCGTCAATCATTGCTGTTCAATAAATTTTTGTTGCAGAAACAATAACAACAACAACGATATCGGAAGATGGCTTGCAAATCGAGAAAAACAATACTTTGATTTCATTCCGATTGAGTGGATGAATGATCGTGAATTTATTCTCAATCATATTAAAAAATATGGCATCTAGGCAATTACAGGAAAATAAGGAGGTTGTTTTAGAGGTCGTGAAATTGAATGGCGAGCAGTTGTGCTATGCCTCTCAATCTCTCAAAAACGATTATGAAGTGGTATTGGAAGCTGTCAAACAAAATGGTCTTGCTTTAAATTATGCTTCCTATGAGCTTGCTGAAAATAAGGAAATTGTGTAGGAAGTAGTGAAACAAACGCAACATGCACTATTTTACGTTGAGCCGAAAGTGAGCAGAGATAACGATGTGTTTTTAATGTCTATATGCCCAAACCTGATGCACAAGTATTCTTATAAAAATTGGAACAATAATGAACAGTTATTATTTCAAGAATTGAATAATGACAGAGATTTCATATTGGAGGCAGTTGCACGAAATTGCAAAGCTTTTAAATTTGCATCTGGTGAATTGAAAACTGATCGACAATTTGTGTTACAAGTGGCCAACCAACATGTTGGATCACTCGAATTTGCTTGTGATGAATTACGCAATGACAAGGAATTTATGCTCACTCTGATTGAACAATGTGGTGGTGTAGTACTTGAATATGCATCCCATCAGTTGCAACGTGACAAGGAAGTGGTCATGAAGGCAGTGAAGAGTTATGGTTGTGCGTTGCAACATGTCTCCACAACGGACCTTGCATACGACAAAGAAATTGTATTGGAGGCGGTCAAACAACATGGATCTGCATTGAGATATGCGTCTGAAGAGATGAAACGATAAAGAAGTGGTGTTGGCAGCAATTCATCAAACTGCCTTCGCGATCTTGCAACATGATAAAAACATCATCCTTACGGCAATTCAGAAAAGCAGCCGAGTAATAGAAATAATCCCTGAGGCATTAACTCATGATAAGGAAATTATATTGCAAGCATTGGATCAATATGGCCTTGCACTTAAAAATTCGCTCCACAAGAATGGAAGGAAGACAAAGAAATTATTCTGAAAGCGGTCAAACGACACGGCACGGCATTGCGATATGTGTCCAAACCATTCATCATGCAGAATAAGGAAATTGTCTTGGAAGCAAGTATGCAAGATGCCTCTGATGTCCAGTATATTCCAGAAGAGCTGATTAACGACAAGGAGTTTATGATGCAACTGGTTTCACGAAATGGCCATGTGTTGAAACATTTACCGTCGCAACTGCAAGCTGATACAGATTTGATTGTACGCGCTGTAATTCACAGTGGTTACGCCACCATTTATTGTGAAGAGTTGTTACAAGTACGAATGCAACATTATTATTTTGGAGCTTATCTTGGTAAACCTGAAACCTCTAGAAAAGTGTGTTTTCATGTGACCATGTGACTAAGAACATGACCACTACTTTCCATGCTTGTACCTCTTCAGTATCGTCCAAGCTTCCAATAAGCGTGTTCGCCCTTGAAAAGAGCAATGGAAAGCATGTTACAGAGTGTTTTGGATCGAAGTTGGAAAGGGCTAACAAAAAAAATAACCAACACAATAACCCGAGTTTAACCACACTTACGGAATTTTATCAGATCATCATTCCGATCGTTACATCATCTTTTGAACGCTTTCATAGTAGTATTATTATTATCATCATAGTTCCAAGTGGATTGTTGAATATGAGTTCATCTGATTCGTTTATTGAATTTTATGAATGTTTGATTTGTTCCGAAATTGTACAAAATAATCGAGAATGTAAAAATTGTCATAAATTATTTTGTTTGGATTGCATTATGAAGTGGTTAAAAGTTCATGAGAGTATGTAGTGTTGTTCATTTAACAACAATGTTCATGATGATTGCGAAATTTGAAATATTTTGAACCTCCGATGACACTTGGCATTTCAAAACATCATCTATAATTAATTCATCATCACCACAACAACTCCAATTTTTATCATTATTTGCAAATATTCAGATTGTCCTCATTGCAATCATTCTCCAGTTGCTTGCAAGAGCGCAGAGGACAACAGTGCCTTCATTCACAACCATCATTCCGAAATGATTGCAAACTCCATTACTGTACCCTGTCCCAATGCAGATTGTGGGTGCGACATTAAAAAGATTGCTCGAGGAGATTTGGCATTACATTTGGAAAAGTTCTGTACGGGTCGAACAGTGCCATGTAAGCATGCCAAATATGGATGTGAATGGAGTGGTCAATATTTGAAATTGGAAGAGCATTTGAGAGAAGAGTGTCCATTTTCAAAAGAAATTATTTTAAAAGCGTTGGAAAAATTGGAAACAAACATTTCTGAATTGACTCGTGAGAATGAACAATTACGTTCTGAAAAAGCAAGTAGTGAAGAAAAGATTAAGGCGCTGGAAGAGAAAGGACTTTTGAATAACAGTGGTATACCAATGAATCAATCCACCACAGTCATGGTCAATGGTGTCACAACTTTGGGAAATGACATTACACGAACTGCAACGGCTCCCATGCAGATTCCAGATTCTTCTCTTCCACCATGGGCTCAACCCAATTTTTACTCTTCCTTTAATCCTTCCTATAGTGGAACGACCTCGTTTTATAATAGTGCTGGAGTGTCGTCCTCTGTTTATCCTCCTCCACCTTCAGGTGTTCCAATGACGAGTAGTAGTAGCATGTATTCCTCCATGATGTCTTCATCCATGAGTTATAACCCACCACTCATGACTTCTTCGTCATTTATGAATGGTAGTACCATGTCCACCATGCCCATTCACACGGTAGAGTGTGGTATTTGTAAAAAGACCAACTTTTCTGGAGTCTTGTATCAGTGCACTTCATGTATTAATTTTTCCATTTGTTCGGCTTGTTACAGTACCTTACAAATAACTCAAACTCATGATAGAATGCATACTTTTTTACCCCTTAGAAAAGTTCGAGGTAAGATAAGTGGAGTGACATGGCTTCGACTTGCCACCTGTGGAAGTTCTGTTTCATTACCTCTAGCTGATAATGATAATCAAGATTTGGAGTTTTATGTGAATGAGCGGACAGGAGCAAGTAAGTAATTGATTGTTCGTATTCAATGAATGGGTTGATATGTGTTCCTCATGAATTATTTTTGCATTCAATTTGTTATATTTAACAATGCAAAATGGTGTGAAATCCATACGGTGTGGGTTATTATGTTTGAAATATATTCACAACACAGTCACACCATTCATGCCAATTGGAGTACCCAATGCGAAAAGCATTTCTGGATCATGGACCTCTGTATCACTTCATTTAGCCATCTATTGGCCCAACACAACAAGAGCCATCGTGATGGAAGGAAATGTTGGAACCTTGCCAACAATGAGTTGCACTTTACAAGGCTCAACGCTCAAATTTACTGTAAAAGCTTCAGGAATGGGTGGCAGAGGAGTTGCCGGTGATGGAGGATACTTGACATTGACATTGTCAGTGAGCTAGAGAAAGTAATAGGAGATCCTGCGAGATTTTTTATGAACTTTACTGCAACTGATCAAGCAAAATATATAAATGTTTCTATTTGTGTTATGTACTATGATTATTTGTTTAAATAATTATTATCAACATGATCCAAAATAATTTTCGTTTCCCAAATTTCCAAATTAAAACCAAATTCAAAGATTTAATTTTTTAAAAAAAATCTGAAAAAAAATATCATGGATTCAACCGACTCGTTGCTCCCACAAGCTCTCGAGCGTATCAGAGAGCCTGGTGATGCTGCCATGCCCACTCTCCTTCAAATCATTGGCGGAATTGTAGGAACAGTATTATTCTTCGTTTTCGTTCTTCCTCTTTTCGGTGGTACCGTTGAATTTGATGGCGACCAATGGGGTCTCATCTTTGCTTCTATTGATCCCTATTTATGGGCAGCCATTGGTACCGGATGTGTGATTGGACTCTCAGTGATGGGTGCTGGTTGGGGTATTATGGTTTCCGGTTCAAGTATTATGGGTGGATGTGTTCGTGCTCCAAGAATTAAAACCAAAAACCTCATCAGCGTTATTTTCTGTGAGGCCGTTGCTATTTACGGAATTATTATGGCCATTGTTATTAGTACTCAAACCAGTTGGTTCCAAGATGCAAAGGATCCAACCAAGGCTACTCCATACATGTTGGTCGTGAGTGGATGTTATACATTGTTTGCCGCTGGTATCACTGTTGGTTTGGGTAATTTGGCTTGTGGAGCATGTGTTGGTATTGTCGGTAGTAGTTGTGCCATTGCAGATGCTGCTGAACCATCACTCTTTGTCAAGATTTTGGTTGTTGAAATTTTCGCAAGTGCTCTCGGTATCTTTGCCATCATTGTGGGTATTGTGGTTGCTTCTAGTGCCAAGTTGAAACCATAGTTTTGTGGCATGATGATTATTTCAGAATAGACAAAGCTACTCTTAAGTGGCAATTATTTAACGAAAATAATTTACATTAAGTCAATCAATGACAATTTCTCCTTATCACCAATTCTTCCATATTCTCCTTCCCTTTTGTCAATAAAGATCTTTTTATGAATGATGCTGATTTTGGATTTGTGTTAGAACTTTCTATTTATTACCTCGTTGTCATACTTTTTCTCCCAAATACACTCCAAAATAACAGTGTTCCATTCTCCTTGCCAAATGATTCCTTAAAAATTCTTCGCAATATTCATCCATAACATATCCTCCATGAATGGCCGCTTCTAACATAACATCATGGTCGTTCTGATAAACATCTGGAAGGTAATCCAAGGCCCTTCCATAACGTCTCACAATCTCAACAGCTTCTTGCTTGTCCAGAACCTGCACTCCCTTCAACCCACTACCCATAGCAGCCCAAACAACATCCTTATCGGCTTTCAGTTCTTTTGTTGCATAATTAAAGGCAAGTTTGTCATGTTTGACTGCTTCCAATACAATCTCTTTGTCATGACCCCACAATTCTGATACACACAAAAGTGCAAGTCCACACGCTTTCACTGCTGCCAACACCACATCCCTATCTTTTAGGAGAGATTTCGATGCATGTTCAAGTGTTCTATAGTGTCGATCAGCCATTGAAACTGCCTGTAGCACCACGTCCTTGTCACTTCTCAAACTATAACCCACGTATTGTAGAGCAGCTCCTCCGAATTTTCTTAATATTTTCAACACAAAATCCTTATCGTTTTTCAATGTATTGGACGCATATTCAAATGCTAGAATATTTGTGAGTAAAATCAATTCCTTGTCGGATCGTAATCGCGTTGAAGCATATTGCAGTGAGGTACCATCTCGTTGAGCAGCTTCTAAAACGACCTCTCGATCGTTTTTTAAATCATCGACAGCATATTTCAATGCATGTGGCTGATTTCGAACAGCCGCCAATACAATTTCCTTCTTACCTTTAAGGTCTATGGATGCATGCTCAAGTGAAAAACCATTACGAGATACGGCGTCCATAATAAATTCTGGATCATGCTTGAGTGTTTCAAACAACCAAGTTGCATTATTGTTCCAATTTGTGTTGGAATATTTATGTGCAACATTGGGACAAATCGATGCCAAAAACACATCACTATCCAATTGTAATTCATGACAAGCATATTGTATTGCAGAAGGATCTTGCCTTACTGCCTGTAATACAATTTCCTTATCTGCTCTCAACTTGACAGAAGCATATTCAAGAGCACGACCATTTTGTTGAACGGCTTGGCTCACCACCTCTCGATCATTATGAAAATCTGTTTGTCGAAAATATGCTAATGCATGACCATCTTGTTTCACAGCCGCCAAAACAATTTCCCTATCCAATGCTTGATTGATGAAATGACGAATACTTGGACCACTGAGCTGAACACATTTTTGAATAAATTCTCGATCCTTCAACAAGTTGGGATTATCAATTGAAGAAAGATCATTGTGTTGAATGGCCTCTAAAATCAGTTGCGGTTTACTTTTCAAGGCTTTGGAAGCAAAACGATATCCATATCCGTATTTCCGAATATGATTCAATACAAAGGCTTGATCGTCCATGAACTCGAGTGGAAAATAATGCTTGTATTTTAACTCTCTTCTGAGTAGCCATTTCTTCTTTCCGAGTTGTTGTCGGAGAAAACGATTTTTCAACCAATGTTCAGCTTTCCGGAGTGATTGTAAATTTTGTAAATGATTTCGTTCATCATCATGGGCTTCGGAAGGACAAGCAAAATCCACGAGTATTATAATAACTGCAACACGGTCATTGATATCATGATTGTTGGATATTGTGTGATTTGTTGGCAGATCTGTAACAGTTTCGAGTTTCAACATTTTTTTAATTTTGAAATTTATAAATTGTTAAATTAATATTCATTCAATAATTATTTCACAACTCGTGATCATTTCATTCATGCAAAAGTAAAATACTTTCAAATTCACAAGTTTTTCTGGTATGTAAGAAAAATTCATTCCGACAATCGGTTACTGAGTTTGTTCATTTTTTGTAATAATGAGAGTGATGCTCATAAAAAATTACAACAATGATGGCCTGTGGTTGTGCGAGGATGTAAGTTGGAATTCGTTCTTTTTCATACAAACAATTATTACGCTGAATGAAAATGGATAAATCAAGCAATATCTTTACAATTTAAATATACTCACCAAATTTATTTGAGTATATATATGAATGAATTTAAGCTGTCAACAAATTTTCGATTCGAGATCGATCACGGTAACGTCAACTTTAAGTTGAATTCACCAACATTTCGTATTTTATGATAATTATAAAATGTCACATACGAGCTGTCTGTTATCCTTGTAAAAGTTTAATAAAACGTTCAAATTTCATAGGTCAAGGATTGAGGGATCGGTTGTAGTGTGTTGCGAGTATGATATGATTGATGTTCTTTCCAATCATTTGAAAGTTTCTTAATGTTTGGATTTTGTCTCTTCAACCTTTCATAGGCATCAATTAAATTACTCAATGCCACACTTTTGACTCGATCAAATAAATGATCGGGTAATTTGTTCACTGTGTGGTTGTTGGTATGAATCACGAATAATATTTCTTCCCGGAGTGTCTCTATATTTCCAATATTCAATTCTTGAGGAGCTCCTTGAACAAGATAACACTGTACAATATGAAGAGCCATATCTCTTCTTTGTGTACTACTCGAACATTGCTTATACTTTTCGAGGTCCTTGTAGAATAGCAAACCTTCAGCACAAAAGCTTCTACGGCAATGATCCAAAAAGCTTTCAAATGCTTGCTTATTGTTTAAAATCATTTCCATCTCTGTGTCGTAAACTTCGGATTTTGGTTTTTCGTCTTGATAAATGGCGTAACAAATTGGAAGAAATATTGTCACAAATATTTCAATACCCGTATAGGTTGTCATGATAGTTCCAGATGGAACAATGTGGTCCAATATTCGGAAAATTTCAACAAACTCTGTGACCAAAAACAAACTCCCAAGCAATACTTGAATTGGTATGAGGCAGAGAGCTTCCTTTTTGATGTACCATGTGTCACTATCTGTTCTAACAAGCAATAATACGGCACAGAGGCATTCTATACAAAAAAATCCACAATATATAAACAAGGCAAGAACGGACGGAAAATATTGAGCTCCACAACCGAATAAGCTCATAGAATCATTTGTCATGAAAAATCTATCTTCTGCAAAGAATGAATTCTCAATCACTGTAATACAAAACCACAAAACAACGTGAACGCCTAGTATGGCAATGAGAAACATCATAATATAGGTGTGTCGTGAAAGTAAATCATTCATTCTGTACCATATTCTCTCTTTGAATCCAAGTTTGTATTGTTGCATAAAATTATTGGATGTACGGGATGTACATTTCACAGACATGGAAGGTGAAGAAATTTGAGTTGATTGTTGGCGTTGATTCATGTTCTTCATCGAGTTGTCTCTTGGAGAGACGAGATCCGAATTGTTATTCTCGGTGGTGGAAAGTTCACCCCTCATCGTTTGGTCACTCAGCTGATCTAAGTGAGTCAATTGTTGAGATTTCATTTTGCTCACCTGAAATTGAGCATAGAACCTTAATAACCTCAAAATGGTAGGCATTGCAACACATGGAGGCATTACCACAAAGAAAATACTATACAATATACACGGGTACACTGCTCTTCCAATCACATATCTGATTTGTATTCCCAATACGAATAAAAAACTGCTAATAATCGTGAAAATCATTCCCGAAACTGTTCTTGCTCGAATGTGACCTGAATTTCGCTTCCAAATCAGCCCCACAATACTTGCTACTATAAGTGTCGAATAACCCAATAAAAACAAACCAGAAGAGATGGGAACCATGATCGTATCTGGACAATTTCGTACTTGTTCCTGTGTTGTGTTCTGAAATGTAGAAGTGTTTGTAAGTGATGAAAGAACAAGAGGAAATGAAAAAATCCATTCTGCACAAGGTTCGGAGAATGATGTTGTCATGATGGGAGGCGTTGAATTCAGGTGGTTCATACCATCATTCGGTTGCAGTACTTGTGCCAGATGGTTATTATTGACAATCGACGAAGAAATTATTCCAATCATTTCAAGTGTTGTCGAAAAAGTCATGTTGGACTCTTTTTCTCGTGTGGGGAGTGATGATATGCTTGTTGTCTTCACAAAATCAACTTGTCGTCGTCTCTCCAAAATGTATCGCACCATCGCGAGAGAGATGTTTCAATTTTCTTCGTTTCAGGTCAGTTTTCGTGCAAACAACATCACAAATGCTCGCGAGACAATCTCTGTCTGAGGTTAAAATCACCGTTGGTAAAGCGCACACAATAATAAGAGAGCTCTCTTGAACAATACTATTCCGTTCCAATTTGAATCCAGTCGTAATGATTATTCAACTGATTGAATGCCAGCCATACAGTAATCACCTTTTCATCCTTATCTGTTGTCGATAGCATTGGTGATTGAACATCCACAATGGATTCAATTTTCTGATTTCCTCTCCGGGCAACACCATAATTATGACGACTCAAGATGGCAATTTTAAAGTGCACTCGGGGTTGTTTCAAACAGTGTGCAAGAGCAACCAGACAATTAAAATCTCCCCATACCCCCAAGCATTGCATATTTCTTAAATAATACCTCTCAATATCGTTGTTGTTGTTATTATCTCCTGGTCCATCTAGAATTAATGCATGCCTCAATCGGAGACCTTTATCAATTTCAGTATCTAGATGCGATCTCATCCAATCTACGGCTGCTAATCGTAGCTGGAGATGATACTCTTCTGTGTTGTAGAGGCCCATAGATACTGCTCTGAATAGACAATTACCATCAGGCTTGACTTTGATGATTTTCATTTTGGGAGGCTTGTGGTTGGATGTGTTCGAATTAGGATGATTATTGATTATAGAGCTTGATTGAGCCATAGTTCCATCATGATTATCATTGGGATTGGATGATGGAGGTTGGGGATCGGTCGTTCCCGATGATTGTTGGGTCTTTTTACTGCCCCATAAGAAGAGAAGCTTTGAAGAATCGGAATAGGGTTGATTCAATACGTTTGTATTCATCAACATGTATAATCCAATGGAAATGTTCAAAACTGTTCTCGTTTGTGTTGCTGCCCTTGATAGTAAACTTGTCGTCTTGTTATGTGTTTGAAACGATGATGATGAATGAAATAAATCGAAAGCATTTATCCGTTTGGAATTGGTACATTTACTCGCTTTCAAAAAGTGGTCAAATCTAAAGGATCCTAACACATTTAATCCACGTGATGACGCTAATTTCATGAACGTGTTGCTCCAACTGTTGTTGGTGAAGATAAAGCTTGGACCCATTTTTTGGTGTGAAATTATTATTATTGCTGCTCATCGATTGCAAAGTTGGTTGACTGCATGCACCAACGAAGAAATAACCTTATCTTGTTTTTGAATATGTACTATGAGATCTTCGTGTCTCTTATTCATTTGTTCTATTTCGTATCTTTGTTGTTCAATCAACTTGAGCAGAGAAAGATCGAGAAGTGACATTTCACAACTCGTGTTTGAAAGTGTTGTTCCCAGACAAATGGCATTGACAATCTCTTGAGCATTTTCGTCTCCAAATCGGTCAATAAATCGATCTCTAAGGTGAGGGAGTTTCAATGTCAACATTCTAATCCTTTCTAAATATTCCATTCTCTTTTTCAAACTCTTCTCTTGTTTGTCGTTATTTGTTAGTAAATTATCATCACTAAAGAAATCAATTTCCGCACTAGTTGAGGTTGCTTCTCGATCTATTGTATAATCATCCACAATAGAAAAGCAAATTTCTGCTGTCAATTCTAAAAAGCAATTTTCTGAGATGGTAGTTCCATATTTTTCAAACATTTCAATCAACCACTCTTTTCGAAATGTATAGATTTGAGACCATTGATTTTTCTCTTTCACTTGTATGCCACAAGCATTAATAATTTCTTCATACAGTGTCAAATCCACATTATTTTCAAAAGTATGTCTATTGCGTGCAATGAGATCAAACATTACAAATGCATGATTTCCAGCAATGAGATAGGATCCATATGCGTTCAATACACATCCTATAGTTTCTTCAGAAGGCGAGTTATATGCAAAAAACCAGTCCACAATGTCAAGAAAATCCTCATAACGGTGTTGTGAATTTTCTGCTGCCAAGAGATATTGAATGTAAAGAGCATAATTTTCCATATTTTTTAGATCCATAAAGCACATGCTAGCATCATTGGTCTCTTCTGTTTTGTTGTTGCACTTGTTATCCTCTTCTGCTATGGGTAGGAAAGATTTCAACAAATTTAAACCCGTTGACCAAACAATTTCATTCACGCTCTCTTCTTCCGATATCAAGTGTGAGAATTGATTCGACCATTCTCTCCAAACAATATTTGCAAAATTTTCTCGATTTTGTTTGATACATTGTTGAATTAGAATCAATGCTCGTTGGTTGGTATCGTTGAGTTTTTCTAGTTTGTTTTCATGATGATTATGAAAGGACGCTTTGGAAATATCATTCTCATCATCGGCATTATATCCAATTTTCATCAATTGTTCTTTCAAATCTTCTTCAATTTGTGATTGCAACAATGAATCATCAAAAGTGTCATGATCATGCAAAAAGGAACGTTCACCACTATGCATTTTGTCATCCAGTAATTCCGATTTTTCATCATGACACCTTTCCGAATCATCCAGCTCCAAATCATCATGTTCTAATTTTTGTTGAATAAATTTCAAACATCCAACAACCATTTCATTCATCTCATCATTATGTTCCATCAAAAAGGTGCGACTCAGTGGGTGATTGTTTGGGATCATTTTTTTAGTGTTAAAGACTCCGAAACGAGGCCAATAAATGTTTAATGAACATCTGTTCAGATCACAATATTGCTAAAGATGTGAAACTATTTCAAAATGACATAGTATTAGAACAGTGTGAGCCCTACCTCTTACAATGAAGTGATTTTGAATGTGCTTAATCATTTCTAATGACACAACAATGTGCTTCAATAATTTTCTTGTGATCTGGATTTGATAGAAAAAGAGGATAACCATTACCAAGAAAATTCCATGTCACAGCCTCAGGGTTATTCATTTTCCAATGAACCATAGTCATGGTTAATCTCAATAACATATTCCGTCCTGAATCGAATAACATAATTTCTTCCTCATTTCTGGATTGTTCCGTGAATGTTGCAAATGGTCGGTCACCATGTCTCTCTAACCACTCTTTTCCTCTCACATTCTCAAAGCTTGATCGGTTAATAACGTCTGGGCCAATGACATAATAGTGTGCGTCTTTCAAGGAAGAGGAGTCTTGTTGAATGCGACTTGAAAAGCATTCGTTGTTCAATGAAGACTCATTGATACTGCATGTATTGTTCATACATTTTGAAACTCCAGTGAATACTGGGTGATTCAGGATAATTTCAATACTTGAATCTTCCCAAAATGCTCCCAATGGTTGGATTTACATCACCCGGTTCTGAAATGACGAAAAACCGGTTAAAGTTATCAAAACCTCTTGCCATAATACCACCAGGAGTATGAGGGCATCCAAAACAGTGACCAACCTCATGCATACTTGCCCCCAAGCAAGTTGCAAAATTTGCCCAAAAGGTTCCTCTTCCACAGCTGTCATCTCTCACTTGGTTGACATCAACCCGACGTGAGTCTTGCCAACACGCGACTATTTCATCTACACTTGAGGGATATGTATGCAAGGCAACATCAGCGAAAAGACCCAGTTTACCACCTCCCAACGCAGTGGCCATTCTTGTCTTTTTTGTCACAGGATTATAGAACGAACCTCCCAGTATTGCAAAATAGACCACGCTCGAATTATTTTGATCATACTCGTTCAACTCTGAAAGGAGAGCATTATACCCAGCAAAACCTCCGTCTTGTTCCCAATCGTTGGATAAGCTGGCCAAATCTTCTCTTTTCCAATGTTTCAATTGCAATACAGTCACATGAGGTAAACTTGAATCAGTCTTGTCAACTTCCAATGCAAAGGTTTTTTGACTTTTCAACGCCTCGGCACAGAAAGTTTGCAACAGCAATGCAGCAATTTGCATCTTTCGAATGGCAGCCGATAAATCATTACCTCCTGTCTTACCGTCCTTCATTGTATGGAACGAGCCATCATGATCTCGGCAATACACATACACCGGTCTTACACGTTGAATATTTCTCGAAGTATACTCTGTGGTATTGATGAGAGAGCTATCATACGTAAGAGTCCATTGCAACGGAGGAGGCGATTTCTCCTCATCCGTATCACATAGAAGCTTTAAATGATTTGCTCCTTCCTTGAGCAAGATCAAAGCCTTAAAATATCCTCCTTTAATTTCCCATTTCGTTTTCTTATTACCTGGATCTTGTATTATCGTGAGTGTTTGTGCTGATCCGGACAAGACTTTTCCAACAAGACGTACCAAGCTGTATCCGAGAACACTTTCGTTGGGATGATTCAATATGGAGATGAGGGTCATTAGGAGTGAGAGATCAAGTAAGGATTTTTTTTGTGTGTTTTGAACTTGTTGAGAAAAGTTCACCCAACTTTAGAGATATAAAACGTGTTGAAGGCATAGGGAAAGTATACTGAGCTATGTTTCAATTGAATCAAGGTTAAAGTATGGGTTTGATCCAGACCTGTCATAAAATTGGTTGATTTTGTGTGAATCTGTCCATCGTCAAAGGAATTTGTTTAACCAATGACCAATGGTTTCTTAATCAATTCCAGTACGCTTGTTTACATTCTCAGAATGTTGTGAATATTGCGTATGGCTCATATTTCGAAAATTCGAATTAATAATTTCCTTATTTTTCCTAACCCAGAATGTGAATCCTTTTTTTCCTTAGTCATGCCATTAAGTACCATTTGAAACAGGTTCATGCTAATCAGTTCATTTGATGCATATTCAAGGCATCAAAGGGACTGATTTTGATGTTCGTGATGGTGTGTCTACTCCACATCTCAATTCTTGCGTGTTGTTTTACACAAACGTTTCACCGATTCCAAGCAGCACATTCATTATCCATTACGACAAGAATGTGTAAAATTAATGACTTCTGGTGATACTTGTAAACGAGAGGAAACATAATCAATGGCTCCAATATTTTGCTTGAGCGCAATCAAGACCATGTCCAAACAATCTTGTATTTCTTTCGAAGCATATTTCAAAGCGAGTCCATCATTCTCCAGTGCAACCTTTACCATTTCAAAATTATTTCTCCATGTAGGGGGTGCAAATCGAAGTGCAAACCCGTCCTGTGTGACAGCTGTCAAGACAATTTGCCAATTTGTAATTTCATAATTATGATTCATGTTTGGATGATCTTCACTTCGTAACTCTTTTGGTACAAATTCCAAGACACTTCCATTCAATGAGACTGCTTTTAATGCCACTTGTCGATCTCGTTTTAATCGATCTGAAGCATGTTCATAAGAAAACGGGTCAATTTCAATCATTTTCATGACAAACTCTTGATCATCTTGCAATTCTATACTGGCATTCTGTAAATTTTTTGAGAGCATTACCAATTCCTTGTCCTGTTTGAAGGATTGATATAATTCCTGATTTGTAGAACATGTGACTGTGAGACATGCAAATGCTGTTGGATCTTGTGAAACTGCCAATGTTGCAATTTCTCGATGATTTTGTAAAATCAAAGGAGAAACGTTTGCGAGGGCGTGTGGAAAATTTCGAACTGCTTCGAACACAATTTCATAATCTTGACGAAATTTTGGATCTGCAGCTGTTAATGCTTGTCCAGTATTTTTGACAGCTGTCAACACCAGTGATCGATCGGATCGTAAAGTATCGCTACAAAATGCAAGTGAATTACCATCTTGTTGAAGAGCAGTCATGACGACCTGTTGGTGATCTTGTAATCGTGTTGAGGCAAATCTTAATAGTTGTCCTGATTTGGAGACTGCCAATTTGACTGCTTTTTCATCATCTCTTAATTCAGGTGATAACAATGTAAAATAATTTGGATATTGTTCGAGAACAATTTTTGCAATTTCTCGATCCTGGTTGAAATGTCTGTTCACATATTTAAAAAGTGCAGGATTTCGTTTCATCAGTCGAGTGATAAAATTTCCATTCGATAATACTTCTTTTGGAGAATAATTCAAACAGTATGCATTGTTCATGAATTGGAATTCAGAAAGATGCAATGGAAGGGAACTGTCACGTGTCAATAGTTTAACAACCCTTAAATCAGAAGCGGCTCGTTTGATGTCTTTGAACGTTTCTGGGCTGCACTGTGTAATTACCCAATATTTAAAATGGATCCATTCCTTGCTGTTATCCTCAACACAGATAAGTGGTCCGTCAAGGAATACTCTTTTATCATGATAGGTCATTCCAACAACCCAACATTCACGTTTTGTTTTTTCAAAAAATGTTCGCTTCCAATTAGAGAATGGTACCAAGACACGACTGGGATGAAGCAAGGCTCCAAAACTACGCTTTTGTTTTCTGTTATTCATACATGTTCCATTATTAAATTTTAGAAATTCTTTGACATGAAATGATAAATTTGGTAAATCTGGATGTTGGTGAAAATATTCTTGAAATTCATCATCATTGGTAAATGCAGGTGCTTCTACCAGTGGTGCTTTTAAAAACATATTGACAATTTTCCACCATTCTCTCAACTCTCTTCGTTCGACTTGATTACATGCCTCATGAAATTTTGAACACACCCATTCCGATTGCATTCGAGAATGATCATCCAAGAATTCGAAAATAATTTCAACAAGTTCTTGCGGAAGTGCTACCAAGTTGGTTGTTGTTGTATTTTGTAACAAGGTCATTTCTTGATGTAATGACGATGAGCGAACACAAGCCTCTCGGGATGATGTGTATGATGATGTGTTTGGGTAGTTGGTTGACATTTTTTGTATGAAGAAACGAAGTGATGTGAAAAAGTCATACAACTAGTTGACATTTAGTTTCTCCTGGAAATACTACATGGATTCCTGAATGTTCCTTGAATGAATCAGCTGTATAAGTCTCTACATAATGTGAAAAGGTTCCATGATGAACAATGAGAGTTTTCTTTGGCATTAATTTGCGATGTAGTTCAATAATTTCGTGAGAACTGTTGGTGATGTTACCTACAAGGAATTTTGCCAAGCCACCAATAAGTTTGGTTTTCTCTACGGATGCTTCACCTCCGTTGGTGATGATAAAATCAAAAGTGTCACTTGTCAGTGCTTGTAAATCTTCTTGTATATTGCATTCTGTAAAGACGGAATCTCCAGTCACATAAAATTTACTTAAACGAGCATCACTGTTCTTCTCTTTGACTTGTACAATGTATCCATTTCCATTCCCAATAGCAGCACCAACCTTTTTGGATTTTGCATGAATAGCATTCACTGAATGAATCTTGACACTAAAATGTTCCAAATCCTCAATGATCAAATCTTGTTGTGGTTCCATCCAATACACCTTTCGATCATTTCCAAAAACTGTTTCCATATTTGTTTGATTTAACACATTTTTCAATAATTTTTCGACACTTGGATGCGCGACAATAATAGAATTGTTTTTTCCTCTCACAATTTTTTCCAGTCCCAATTGATCCAAATGATCTTCATGACCATGAGTGAGAAGCCATACATCTACTTGTTCTAAATCCTGGTCGCCACTGAGAACAGGGTCTTGTAAACGTGTGGATTTAAACAAACCATAGTCTTGAGAGTGATTTTTGGGGCATAGTACTGGATCGCATGCTATTTGAAGCGAATGGGGACTTGTAGAAGAGGTTGTTTGAAATATCCAGGTTGCTCCTCCAACAGCGCGGACATGTTGAGTTGTGGAGGTGTTCGACGAGCTCATTGTGATTACTGTGAAAGTGTGGAATTTTTTTTGTTGTTTGAAAAACGCTAACTCCAAAGAGGTTGAGCTCTTATCGATGCGTGAGGATAAATACACTGTTCGAAAACAATGTGAATTGGAGAAGGCTGCCCGGGTATTAAAGATGCATATTCCTAACAGTGTAGCATTTAGTATAATTACGTATTGAAAGCGATGTAGTTTGAAAAAGAGATTCATGCGCTTTAATTGAGGTAATCAATTAATCAATGGAGATGAGGAGCATGCTTATTTGTTGAATGTGTCACGCAGCTTATTTCCAAGAGCACTGGCAAAGGTGGCACCACGTTCTCGCATGGTATTTAAACGAGAGGTTGATGAAGTGGAGCTCGAGTTTGATGGATTGGATGATGACAATGAAGTGGATGAAGAGGAACTTCGCATACCCGAGGTGCCACTATTACCACTGTTTGGTGGTGCTACTGGTAGTTGTGGCAAGTGCTTTGGAGGTATGTGAGGGAGTGGTTTTTTGTCATCATGATGAATTGGAGAGTATACACTTTGACTTCGTTGCTGACTTCTAAAACTAAGCACAGTTTCTAATTTGAGGTCATCGCTTGGAGTGGTTGCTGTGATGGAAGCTGTGATGGAAGTATCTGTGTTGGTCGTTGTAATTGAATCATCCTTACCAATAGTGGTATCAGATGCAGTTCTGGATCCCAATAAACTTTCCTTTTCAGCCAATTTCATTCCCAACTCCATATTTTGCATTTGCAGTATTTGGTTTTGCTCTTTAAGCTCCGCAAGTTGCACATAAAGATCAGAAATAATATTCTTCAACTCGCTGTTCACTAATTGTTGATCTGAAATTTCTCCTCTCACAATTTGTGAAGTTTCATTCTTCTTTTCCATTTTGAGAGCTCGTTCTGTTTGTTGAATTTGTCTCTTCACAAGAATGTTATATTCCTTCTCAACTTTGCTCTTATCAATTTGAGTTTTTTGTAACTCTTGCTGTAACTGCAGAATATGTTCACGTAGTGTTCGATGTAATGCATTTGTCTCTTCCTGAGCCTTTTTGAACCGCTTCTTTTCCTCTTTCAACTTGTTTTCCAAATCTCTAATTTTATGATCTCTGAAATCACATTCAGATTGTAACTTTTTTGTATGTAATTTTTGCTCCGCTAAAAGTTTACGAGTCTCACTTTCTTGAGCCAAGAACGTTGAAATACTCTGTTCACGTTTTTCTTGCTCATTTCTAAACGATTGAATATACTCATAGAGTTGACTAAACTCAATTCTTAATGCAAACTCCTCTTCAGCGGCTAATCGTAAACAATCCTTAATGGTTTCAAATTGTTTTTGCATTTGTCGTAACTCACGATTTTGATATTCGATCGTTTCGTCAGTGAGAACCTTATTGATAATTTCATCATGTTTGCTTGAGTCATTTTCCTTCTTTTCAAAAAACTCTCTTGAGATATCTGTCTGCACGCAAATATCAATTCGAAGATTCTTTAAACGAAGTTCCTCTATGGTTCTTGTTCCAAGTCTAACCCAATCCTTTAATTGATTGGCTGTTTCTGGATAAATAAAGAGTCTCTTTTCATTTCCATTAATCAGTGCAAAAACTTCTTTTGGCATTCCATCATCAACAGGAACATGTGTTTGAATGTACTCGGTTGTATCTTTGAGAGGCATGTGATAAAATAGAACCTTATCTATTGAAGCTGTGGAATCTTTCACAAAGCTATTAGGTGGTAATTTTTGAGTGAGACACAAAATCTCACAAGTATCTAACATGACGCAGTGAACTCTCTTAAAGTCTTGCGTCGAATGAGTCAACACTTTGCAAGGTCCTTCAATCAAAATTTGTTTCTTGTTATCTTCAACTTTAGGAGTCGAAGATTGAGTAGTTGTTGTTGCAGTAAGTGTTGATTTTGAGGGTGTCCTGATAAGAGATTGTTGATTTTGCATTTCTGCCAATATCTCTGTGAGGTGAATCTTACTCTGAATTGCAGACTCTAACGCCTCAGTTTTATCATTTAGCTCTGTTTGCATGTTTGCTACCAATTTGGTGAGATTGTAGTGCTCTACCAGTGTTTTCGTGAATGATCTCTGTGATTCAGAGATTAAATCTCCCAAGGTCTGGAACTTTTTAATGATGAGGAGAGTTCTCTTATCAGCGAAAAGTGCAAAGTATCCTTGCAACATGTCTGCCCATTGTTTGATATCCTTAAATTGACTTCGAAGTAACTTGGAAATCACATAAAGCATTTCAGGTTTGATCTCAATACGAAGAGAGTCTTTGGAGTGACCAATAGAAGGATCCATAGCTTGGAACCAAATACCTCTCTTACTCAGTGGTTTTGTGTAGTCATTTACCAAACCAAGCATAAAATCAACAGGAGCTGATGTTAATGGTACAACTTGTAAATTATTCTCATCAAGTGATGGTGACCTTATTGTACCATTATTATTGATATCGTCCAATGATTTGAATGGTAAATCTGTTCTAATGAGACAATGCACATTAGTTTCACTTCCGAAAAGTTTCAATTCGTACTCATGAGATCTATTGCTAAAGCTTTGAATAGTTTGTTTTGAACTTCTATCCAAATGCTCAATTCTATAAAGGTTATCGAATTTTGGTGTAGCTTCTGTCTCCATTATGGCACGAGTAGGTACGTGAACAACACCCAGAGTCTTAATCTCAAAACCAGCAGCATTTGGAGCTGGTCCTTTTCCAATAATATAGACCTCCAAACCCTCTATTGAAACATCAAAGAGCATGGGATAAAATGTTTTACGAGTGGAGGCCAAGTAGGCTTCGTCTTTTGGATGATCCTCATCGTCTTCGTCACCTTCGTGATGTGATCTATTTTCTGTTTCAATCTTTGGTTTGTTCTTCTTGTCTTTGATCTTTTTAGCCACAGTCTTAATGGTTGGTATTAATTCTTCCTTGATGACAGGTATTATTTCTTCCTTGATGACTGGAATAATTTCACTTGTACTTTCTTTTGGTTTTCGCAAAATTGTTGCTGGCTCAATAGCACGTTCGACATGTGGTGATGAAGATGGATCAGTTGTTGCAGTGACAGTTTCATTCGTTGTTGTAATTATTGGAGTGGCAGGTGTAACTGAACTATTCTGCTTTGAAGTGATAGTGGCCATTCCTTTTTTCGCTTGCTCCTCCTTCTCAACCATATCCACTAAAGAGAAACCGTCATCATCGATGGTCAATGTAATTTGTGGAGAATGAGCAAGTGGACTTGTTTTCTTTTCTTGTACATCACAAGATGTTATAATCTCAAAATCATCTTCATGATGTTCTTCGGTATTTTCCGGTGTAACTGGAGTGGCAGCGTTGACACTAATGTCCACTTTTTCAACGTCATCCATGGTTGTTGCTACGACAGGTATTTCAGAAGGTGTTTCATCTTGTTGATCGTATAATGCAGGAGTTTGGAAATCTTGTGAAGAAATAACTTGTGGGTGAGTGTCTTCCGTTGGGGAGAGAAAATCAGCTGGTAAAGATGAAGTGGATAGCTCTGATGCAGCACTGTCTCCTGATTTCTTCTTTTCAGGTAAATACTTTTCTCTAATTTTGCTGTACGTTCTTTTCACAGTTCTGTTCATAATTTCCATTGGAGAAATGTCAAAAGCATTTTCTCTCGAGTTTAAGAAATGAAAGACATGGTATGCTGTGTCCGTATTCAATCCAACGTGAATTCCATTAGCGCGAAGTATGAGCCTTGCATTTCTCAAGTACTTTAAATTTACATGAGGCTCAATTGAATGGTCGTCTTTCGAGGTAGGTGTTGTTACCTTGGTATCAGCTGGACTTAAATCTACTGGATGTTCATATCTGAATACAACCATATATTTTGGGGTATTGGATGAAAATTTCTTTGGATTCATTGCAAAAACATAGGGACTCTTTTGTGAGGTTTTGGAATTAATGTGGCTGACCATAATAGAGGATGGATTCTGTCCATTTTGTGGTGATGTAATCTCGAAATGAGTAATCTTACTCTTTACCGTAACAAAATTACTTGTTTTTGTGATATTATTTGTCTCAACCAGCACTTCAGCTCCATTCAATTGTAATGTCAATAACTTGGCATCCATAGATGGATCATATTTTGACGAGAAGAATGCTTCCATGCTTGTTGCAGATGAAGCAGTTATGGATAACTCAAGTGATGCAATCTTTGACATGAACATGAGAGGTATGAGCCGAATATCTTCTTTAGGTGTTTCTATGACCGGTTGTTGGCTTGACTTTTTAAATAAATCAATATTATGTGCGTGGAATGATTTGGTACTTTGAATGAGTAATGACTTGATCATTGGTGGGTCATCCACAAATGTTCTAATAAACTCCAATAATAAAATTACTTGAGATTGATTCATGTGGAAATTCAAATTCTCAATAAATGTTAATAATACAATCTTTGGTAACTTGGCATGATACTCTGATATTGACTCATCATTAACACCCAAGTCAAATGTCAATGAAAGAGGTTCCATAATTCGTTGAGGAGGTGAATGAATAGAAGGCATGATTTGAATTAAAAAATCAGAGAGCTTCACTTTGAACTTGTGAGGCAGTAATTCCCATAAAGTACCATGCTGGGAGCTGTAATCTGTACCACAGGATGGAAAACTGTCAATGGACTTGGGTGCGAATAGAGAATCTTGATCTTTTTTACCCCATTCTGATTGTTTCTTGATTCGAGGATCACTAGTAATGATTAACTCCCTGCTATCAATACACATTATTTCATTCACATCTGAGAAACTATTGACACTGTAATTGGATGGAACATATATCTTTGGGCTTCTAATTTCGACAAGGAATGAAAAACTTTTCTCATCACCATCATCATCAGAAGTATAATCCGATGAAGTTAGGGAGCCAGTTGAAGGAGATATCTTGAGCTTGTCACTACTACTCTTAGCACTCTTCAGTGAGGAAGCGCTTTGTGAAGGTTGTATAGGCTTATTAATCAATATAACCGTTTCAGGTGGTGGTTTGATAGACATATCTGGTAAACATTCTAAACAATATTCAACCAATCGAATTATTCTTCTCACATCCAACATTACTTGAATTGGATTAATTCTACACTCCAAAACAAATTCCATTCCTTCTCCTTTTACAAATTTAAATCTAACCATTTCTTTTCCCTCTTCAAAAAATTTTCTCTTCAAAATTGAGTTATGTGGTCTATACACTCTCTCTACAATTTTATGGTCAGGATAGTAACGATGTGTTGACAAAAATTCTGGCCATATTTCTAAATTTACAGTGTATGCGTGGTGATGAGGCTGATTCGGCGAATTCAATCTGTTTGTGTGGCTTATAATTTCATCTTCTTCATACTCTTCACGGAAAATTTGAGGTTGAATAATATAACTTTCATCCTTCATTTCATTGTCAACTGTATTGAGATTGCTTAACAATTCAAGATCCAAGAAAGATGCTGCATTATCAGTTAAATTTCCTTGTCCTTTAAAACTTGTGGTAATTTCTTTGAATTGTATAAATGGAATTCCGAGTTGAACATTCGTTTCTGTTGGATTATCTTCTGGAATTACAACTCCAAGTTGGAAGCCAAGCATTTCAAAAAAGTATCCAAGAACTCGCTTATTTTCTCTTCCTACTACTTGTTTTGGTTGATTATTGCTGTCACGACTGTACAGGAATGTCATTTGAAACTCATTTAAATTTACAACTATTGTTTTACGAGCAGCTTCTTGAGGCTGTGCATTAGCTTTTTTGATTGTCTCGTCATTAATGATTTCCATATCACCTAAATCCGAATCCAACTCAGCCAACTCCTCTTCTAATTTAGCTTCATCGTCAGAATCCTCTGCCGCCTCTGCATTATCTTTGGATTCCACAAAGAATTTAGAAATTGCCTTTGATTGTTTTCCTGAATTCGTGGTTGTCATGGAAGTCTTGCTTGAAAGACTTGTTTGACTGTTGGATCTCTTGTGTTTTTTGACATAGGTAGAAAGAACATCTTTAGGTTGTTTCAAATCCTCTCTTGCTGATGCTGCTTTAAAAGCTAATAAAACGCTTATTAAGCCTTTGATATCCTCTTGTCGTAGTGTTATGGCAATTCGAGGAAGCACAATTTCGGCTGTTACACTCAATAAGGAGGATTGTTTTCCTACGGTCACAGCTCGTTTTTTCATAGTAATAAACATTTGACAATAAATATCATCCAGTAATCGAATTGGAGGTAGTGGTACAAAAGTTGATGGCTTTTTCTGATTGGATGGATAAAAACTCAAGCTAGGAATGAGTGAAATGGAAATAGATTCTACAGATCCCAAACGATGAACCCACACAAATGGATGATTCTTCTCCACTTTAGGAATTGCCAGTTTCAAATCTGTCACTGGTTTAAATCTATAATCTGTTGTTTGTAGTGAAAATCCTTTCACTAAAATTTGTAACACATGTGGTGTGTATGGACCAATTGTTGTTGAAGGAATTTGTCCCAATGTTTTGACATTAATTTCCACCCAATTCACCACTATTTTTATACCATCAATAATTCTATCTACGAATCCATACTTGCTGGTTCCGGTTGAACTTTTTGATGCATCATCACCTTGCGAGCCTCTATTTTTCTCTAGAAAATCCTTTAGAGGAGTCTTTTTAACGAATGGCTTTATAGGCTCTTCTAGATTAATGACGAGTCGATCCAGTGTTAGGACAATGGGATCGTTTGTGAGCCGTGTTAGACCAGGCAATCGTATTGAAAGCTGATTTACATGAGCATCCATCACTTGAAGAAAATCAATCGGAAGAACTTCTTGAATGACTTGTTCATTCACTTGAAGATTTGTTAGAGCACCTGTTCCCTTTAGGAACGACAAGGAGAGAGCGTCTTTTCCCCAATTTTTGATAAAGACGGAAAGGTATTTTCCCAATACATTTGATATGAGTCGATCAGTCATATTATTATGTCGTTGCTACAAAAATCATGTGCTTGGTCGTTACTCAATATGTTGTAGTAATTATTTTTTTTTAATATGATGATGTTGTAAATTATTAGATTTGTATAAATCAAAATATTACTAATGTACGTAGTTGTTGTTTGGATGATGATGATAACGATGATGGTTCCGACCCGTTCGAACTCGATGTGGACTTTAGCACAATGATAATGAAAGATTTTTTTTTATCTTCCTTGTGGTTCCCGTCGAACCTGCTTTCTATTTGAGTAATATTTCAAATTCTAAAACAATGCATAACTGTCCTAATAAAGATGGTAAATTCTTCCTCACTGAGACCCTTGCCTTGTTGTTGATGCCTTTTGCATTGATGATTGAGCAGTACATTGAGGTGTGCTTGTGCCACTTGTTGTTGTTGAAACTGCGGCTGCTTCTTTTTTCCTTCTCCGAATATTTGATAAATGCTTGCTGGGTGGCGTTGGCTTATCACCAAGGTTTAACGGGCGATCAAATTACTGCAAAAAGATACAAATTATTACATGTGGAAGTAAAATTGTTATCATTGAGATCGTTTTGACACAGTCTTTCACAAACTTACCGTGTTAAAATGTGGAAAGGTTGCACAATCGTCAGTAGTTGTTGTAGATATCGTTTCGATTTCGTTCAAAGGAGATATCTTACGTGATCAGTGAGCTTTCGACATGTTGACAAATGTCTTGCCATACCAGTGGTTCTTCATGTTCTTCTTCACCTTTTGCGCAGTCTACGGTTTTCGACAACGCCTTCAAAATAGTGAACGCTGGTTAAAGACAAAAACTGTTTCTAAAACTCAATATCGAGAATATTGTTTTCAATCGCTAGCTGCACCATCTGTATGCGTGTTGTGTCGGGGCAGCGCTTTTCTTCACAAGCTGATTTTAATGACAGCAATTTTTGTTCTCATTATTGTCATTTGTTTGATGAGGGTTGTTTCTGAAGTTGAAAGAAAAAATAATTGAAATGTGTCCTTGTTTTCCTCTTTGGAGCAAGAGCAATATAAAATACAAACACCTCCTTGATTCTTCTTTTGATGATATTGCTTTCATCATCATTCCATTTTTAAATCAAAATGAGATCATCAGATTTGCTGGTGTTTGTTCATCATGGAGAAGAATTGTAATTTCTTCTTCCGAGAACAAATTCTCCAATATTTTGTATTCTAGAAAGAGTTTCAAGGAAATACCAATGGAAACAAAACTCAAAAATGATAATCAACAAGTTTTATCAATGTTTTCACATTTTGAATTCTCTAAATGTCATTTAACTTCATCACAATTCAAAACAATATTCTCTTCTCCCAAGCTATCATCATTAACATTGACACGCACAAACTTTACTCTTTTCCCTTCTGACACGCTTTCACTGTTGTCTATTAGCTACATCACTCTTTCTCTTGACATTATTGAGCTTTTTGTAGAATTGAAGAATTTGAAGAAACTACATTTATCATACACAAATATTGATTGTGATTGCATTGATTTTATTGTTAATGGTCCATTAAAATTAGAAAGTCTTAAGATTGCAGATAAGGTAATACCTCGGAGAGGTCTCATTATCATATTCAATCCTCATGTTCCATCATCACTCAATACCCTTACTATTGAGAGCTATGATAGAGAGCAAATTCATAGTTTTAATATTGATACAGTCAATTTTCCTCATTTAAGAACATTATACATCACTGCAATACTACATAGTTCAGTGATTGAGAAAATATTCAATCATGGACTCGAATTAACCTTGCTGAAACTAGAGAATACTGATCAAAGTTATAGTTATAACTTCGATTTTTCAAATGCACATCAAATACCCTCTCTCAGATCATTTTATTATAACGATATCATCAATATGGATATTATTCCACAAATGCTCAATGAAGACATTGAAAATCTCACAATTGCACGTCTTGATGCAATATCATCACTGACTTTATCTCGAATACTTTCTGATCAATTCACAAGTTTGACATCATTGACCCTTTTTGTAAGCCAATTGATGACAGATTGTGGAAAATATATATTCAATTTAAAACACTTGACACGACTAGATATTTCTGGATGTAAACCACGACCTGAAATCTGTAAATATATTTTCAACATGAAAAGTTTGACATATATTGATCTTACAAATTGTGAAATTGGAGATGAAGGATTGAAATATTTATCAAATCATAACTTGGACAACATACAGACGCTAAAACTAGACTTTAACAATTTAACTTATGTTGGAGTTGAATATTTGATGCGTGTAAAGTTCAAACGTCCATTGTTATATCTTTCTCTCAATGACGAAATTAGTAATAATGGAACCATTCATTTTGAGAGTGGATTCAATTTCAACGTAAAAACCCTCTTTATTATAGATGGGGGCATGGATTTTAGGGATGTAATTTCAATTCTACAAAACTGTATCATAGAAGAATTGATTATAAGGAAACCACAGAAAATGCTTCTTGGATCACTGGCTATTAAAAAGCTTTCAAAGAAGAAACAGGTGAAAGTAGTAATGCTTGGCCAATAAAGTTGATTGAGCAAACTTTGGGATTTTGACCCACGTAGGGAAGACTAAAATTTAATTTTAATTATTAAACTCAATATTATGCTCTTATCCAACATTATAAGAACGAATCTAGCGTCATTATTACCGCTGACATGTCGTTCTCGAGAAAAATAAAAAACGCAGGTTTTCGCTGAAAGTTCGTGAGCGTAGCTTTTTTAGCTCCAAAGTCGATATGGTCCAAAGTCAGACGCAGACATGAAACCATCCCAGATAACTCTATTATGATAGCATCCCTTACGAATGATAGATATATCAATTTAGAAGGGTTGGCTCAACCTCTCTCGGACCCTGTCTCTTCCCAAAGCGAGGTACCTATAGTAGCCTCAGCGAAAAAACCAATCACTGGGAGGAGACGGACACCATTAGTAACACATAGTTATATGATGCAAGATATTACAACAGCATGTTATATACATCACTTAAAGCATATTATGATTTTTGTAACGCTTGTCCATGTCCATGATCACTACCATGGTATGTTATATGAAGAGTGAGTCCTATGATAGTTATAGTGGTTGTCAAGAAATACAACTTGATATATACGTCGTTCATGAGTGCTTGTGTATGTTTCTATTGTTTGTGACGAGAAATTCGAACTGTGTGTTGAACAGAACAGCTCCTGTCTCAAGCAGTCAGGTTTTTGAGGACTTTGAAATTGTTTTTTAAAAAATGTTTTGGACTCAAAAATTTCCAAGTTCAAAATGATAGAGAGGTCCAGCGAAAACATGAAATATGGCTCTTTTTCTATAAATACTGATCAATTGTGTCTCAAATTGATATGTGAAGTGTTAATCACCATGTAGAACACTAATATTATGCTTGTGTGCTGATGACTGACTCCTGACGTGGAAATGTGGTACTCCTAACTGCTGAGTGTGTCCGTGAGGGTGATGTTGCTTGACATGTTCCTCTCCTGGTAATTAAACGTAGAGTGTAGTGTGTGTGTGAGATTTGTAGAGTATTTGTATTGTTTGTGACATGAATAGTGATGTATTTGTTGAATGAATCAGCTCCAGTGTTGGAGAGTCATTTTGTTGCTGGAGGTGGAATTTTTTAAAAAAATTTCA